TTTAAATTAGTTTAAATTTAGACCAAGTTTTAATATAAGGTGCCTAATTAATTATTTTTCTATATAAAGTGTCTAAGTTCTAAATTGGTTAACACCTATTATACTAGTTATCATACTAATTATATGTCTATTAAGCTAAAGTGAACATATATTGCTAAGTTATATACCTAACTAGAACAAGCTACCTAACCAACTTAATTTATAGTCATTAGGAATTTTTAATAAACACTTGATTAAACCAGAAATTTTGTCAAGGTTACTTAGAGTAATTTTAACCAAGCCATGTACTAAGCAATATATTTGGACAAGGATTTTAATAAACACTTAACAAAGTCACACACTAAGCCAAACTAAAAATGTCCCAAAACAACTGATTTTGTCTTTAGGAGCATTTTCACAAACACACAACATACATACACCAAAACAAGCAAAATGATCACATTGGAATAATAATAATCATGTTCAACCACAAAGCCAAGCAAATCAAAATAAATAAACCAAAATGAATAAAAAATGAAGGACTTTTCAAGAATTTAGTGAAGTGAATCAAGTAATCCAAGAATGAGGTTGAATTGTGTTTTAAGACAATTTTAACTTTCTTTCCTCTCATGTAATAAGTTTGTAATCATATAAATTGTTCTTAGTGTGAGATCATAGCTCATAGCTCATAATGGAGATCTTTTTGAACTCATACTCAAAATGTATATTCAACAAACAATTAAAAACCATTTACTCAGTTCTTCAAAGTAAAGACTTGTTGAATGTCTAAGAAATTTTATGAGAGGTTTTATACCTAATAGAAATATTTTGTTTATTTATAAAATATTTTTAAATTAGATTGATTGTTTTTTTAGATTTAAATATAGTAGGAGTTAAAAGCAGAAAACAAGAACACATAGTTTTTATAATAGTTTATCCCATCAAAGGACTACATCCAACCCTCACCACACTAGTGAGATTTATGAACAAAATTCAGCCAACCTAGCTTAAGCCACTCACATTGGTCCTCCATTTTAGAGCTCCCAACTCTTGTAGGGCATTTCAACCCATATACACCTATAGTGCATTTTCTCAACCTTAACCACAACATCTATGGGTTAGAATAATACAATAAAAGGTTTATCTGTGATGGTTCACACAAATTTGAATTTCTCTCTCTCTCTCATACACACACACACACACACACTAAGAGAGACTTTTGATTAAGGAAAGTAAATGTTTCATTTCTATATATTTACATGAAGGCTTAGTGTTTAAAGGTACGGAAGAGTACATGCTTCTTGGTTTAGATGAAATCATTATTACTCCTTTGATGAACCTTTAATGAATGTGGTTCATATGAAGCACATAAGAATGATTCATCAATACTTGTTTATAGTCTCTTAAGGTATTTTTTGAGGTAAGATGTGTCTTGTATTCTAAGTAGTATGTTTTATGCAAACTTCGAATTTACATCCTTCTTTTTGAATGGGCACTTTGATTTTCTCAATCTGATGCACATGTTCTTCATGACTAGATTTCCATCATTTCGATAGCATGATATCAAAATCTTCATATCTATCTAAATCATTATGAAGTCTTGTTCTAATGGTCCTTTCTAATGAGCTATTTTGAGGTTTTACATCATCACTTAGTTGGCTTCTTTTTGTTCCTTAGAATAGACCCTTCTTAGTAGGGAGTATTTTGACCACTTTTCTTTATCTTGCAAATGATACTACTACCTTGATGGGTATATAATGCCATCATACTTCCTCATTAACTATTTTCTTTATCTACCTCCAAACAAACTATGAATGTATATATGTGGACTCCAATCACATGACACAACAACAAATGCATATAGCACCATCGTACTTCTTCATCATACTATTAGACCTCTATGTTCGTACTTCTCAAATGACCAAAGTCCTATTGGATTTCTCACTGCCAAGCCTCTGCTTGGACTTTTCTCACATCACGCATCAACATCACCTCATATCTCATATCGTATCATATATCTCATACAACCACGTCTCATAATCTCTTATCATCTTGTATTGTATCACTCAAGTGTTACCTTCTTTAATAGTCTCTTATGATATATCATCTCTTAATGATTATTAATCTCATTTTTTTCTCTAAATATATAATTATTTCTCTTGTTCACTTTTTTCTCTTATTTAATTATTAATACAAGTATTATGAACACTCTTAGGTTCAATACCTAAAGTTAAGGTCTCTCTCTCTCTCTCTTTCTCTCTCTCTCTCTCATATATATAACAATATTTGTTATCATGCTCAATGTAGCGTAATCGCACCCAATGTCAAGAGGTTAGAGATCTCTCTATTTCACTTGCGCTTAGAATGACTCCTTCCACGCCTAACACTAAGGGATCAAGAACTCCTCTAGTACTCTTACACCTAGCATGACCATGACCACGTCCAATATAAGAAGTTTGAGAAAATTGATGTCAAATGGCTCCTATGCTTGGCATGGCTCTTCTCAAGCTCAACACATAGAGGACAAAATCTATTTTTCCTTATCATGCTTGACACCTTGAACCATACCCAACTTGATTGCAAATTCTACACCTCATATAATCATGATTAGGGGTTCTAGAACCCCTCTAATCCATCCTTAACACTCTAAAAACTCAATCAATCAATAATACATACATAATTTGGTCATAGAACACTTAAACATTATCAATTAGCTCTAAAATTACAAAAAAAAAAAACTCCTAGTTATCATAGAACCCTAATTTTTTTTCCAAGTAATTACCCCTTTCACATGCACCCCTTCCTCCCACTCTGTCTTCAATGTTCTTTTTATTTTTTCAAGCTCTCATGCTCCTTTCACACGTTATCCCTTTCTCTATTTTTAAGGATTTTAAAACAATCTAGAATTTTATAATAGTAATTTTCCTTCCAAAATATTGAATTTTAAAATTTTATCATATATGGTCTAAGATTCACAATAAATAATAATAATAATAATAATAATAAAATCTTCACATATATATATATATAAGAGTTAATCGCCTATACACTGTCAGTGTCAAGTTTTTTTACACTAGCAACCAATTATATCTCTTAATTGTGCCATGTCACGGTTAAAAGTAAATGTATTTATAGTGACATGACACTAGTAGTGTATAGGTGATTAACTCTATATATAATATATGTATTGTTTTTAAAAAATTTACTGTTTTGTTTGTTATAAAGACAGCTCACTCCGTGACCTTATGCAGATTATAAAAATGATTAGATTTTTATTTTAGTGGTCATGAATCATGATCCTCTCGCACGAGGAAGCAGTATGGTGTACAACAATGCACACGTGAAAGTGGGGTGGAGGCAGATGACTCAGACAGCCCCACAACACAGAGATTTGACCACAGAAGCATTACAATTTGTTTCTTCCGTGACCCAAACCCTCGTGTCTTCTGTTCCCCTTAATTTCCAATTATAACCATTTCTTTTCAAATAAAGGTTCATACATATGTTGTTAGGTTGAAGACAACATGCTCAACTCACACTCCTATTATTACCAACATTGAAGACAACAATATCTCAATATCCATTACTCTACCTTCCGAGTCCACATTCCATGTTTCCCACCCTTTTTTTTCCTCATAGAAAACAAGGACACTAACATGTCTAAAAGATTAATGATTCTTTAATATATCAAGTTAAGAGCACTATATATCTATTACTATCATTATCATTACTTTGTTTAAATTATTAGGTAGCAACCAAATGTCTTTAATTATGAAATCATCCCCTTACATCAGTTGACCTACTTTATTGAATTTTCATTCATGATGTAACATGACATGGGTTTGATATAAGAATTGTTTTATTCATAACTTCCCTCTAATCCCATTCTCGACACTTGGTATTAAAATAATTTGTTAGTTTATGAATCATGTGCAAAATTTAAATAGATCTTTGTGTTTTAAAGTTTACAATTAAGTTTTGTCATACCCGGATTTCAAAAAAGTTGTTTCTGATAAAAGAAATCTATGATCTATTTAAAAAAAAATTAAGTCTTTTAAGCTTATAATTTCTTTTAATTGGGTTTTTAACCTAAGATAAACGAAATATCCTTAGTGTTGTGAAACTATAAGGAATAATTTATTTATTTTTAATAATTTAAGGACTGAATAATTAGAGCAGTTATAAGTAGGGTGCCCACAAAGAACCACTCTATTATTGCATTTTGGGTTTAAGCTGCAAGCACTTTATGGATATGTAGCTTTGGGGTAAAGGGGAAAAAAGAGTGGAATTCCTAAACTATTATGTCAAAGACTGTCTACAGCTTCTACATTGCAGTCATCAACAAAATCTTCACTTCAAATGATTAATGGACCAAAATCATTTTCTAATTATTATAACACCGCTTGCCATTATTTCATATTTCTCTCTAAAATTATGCATATTTTATTTCAATAATCTCATTTAAGCACCTAACTTTATCTTAATAACTTTTGCACAAGTGAAAGGATACAAAACTTTACTTTCACCTAAAAGACTTCATTTACAACAAGTCATTTCATGAGATAAAAACTCTGTTCATGAAGGTTTTGTTATCAAATAAAGCAATTAGGTTTGGACTAGAGACAAGTTTGGCAGACAATTGCTTTGAAAGATATACTCAAGTGTACAACTTGCTGCAGTTTTGTGTGTCTGTAGTAAAAACCACTCTGGCAATTCAAACACTGTTCTTTATCCTTTTTCCTTTTTCCTTTTCTTTTCTAATTATCTTGAATAAATATTCACAAGTAATCTGTGTTGCTGTTCTATTCTTCTTTCTCTTGAATCATCCAAGCAAGTCTAAGAAAATCTACTATGTTGGAACTTAGAAGACTCATTCTGTTTGCATCCTTTGGAAGTTATGCGCTTCATAGCACTTGCAAGTTGCAGCCACAATAACAACATAGCAAACCAAGCTTCATTTAATGAAATTCATACCAAAACCTAAAAATTCTATTCAGATTCAGTCAAGAAAGTAGTTTTGGGCTAACTGGATTCCTGAATCAGCCTTCAAATAAGTCATCATCAGAGTCAACTCTTAAGTGATCAATACCACATGTATTTTTAAATCTAACTTTGTTGTAGATTCTTAAAATGCACACTCTATAAGCAAGGAGACTTAATCATATCTTTCATGAATGCTTTTAGTCCATGATTCTCATGGTTATACAAAGTAAAACAAAGGTGAGGTGAAGGTGCTAGATTTAAAGTAATTTGGAAGACATGAACATAATGACTAAAACTATTCCAAGTTAATCAATGCAAAGAAGAGTAAGAGGGATTTTGGATATATGATTTGTTGACATAGCTATCATTATAATTCATGCTATTTCGATATACATATATAGCCTAGCCATGAAGGCCAGCAACACATACAAAACTTGTTATACTCTCTCCCATGATATCTCGCCGTTTCTATTTACACTCCACCATGAATCAGAGGGAGAAAGAAAGGAAAAAAGAAACAAGAAGAGAAAATCAAAGAAAAAAAACATAGAGAGAACTGTTCTTCTTCCATTGCCATGGAAAGAAAGAAAAGCATGGTTGGACTTGCAAGTGTTGAAGAAAAACTAGTCATGCCAACAAAGGAGCATGACAACACATCTTCTTATTATGTAAAGTCTTGCCCTTTGCTCTCTGAGGACTCCTCCAAGTCCTCTGTTTGATGATGATAGCCTTCTCTTTGAGGCAGCACTATCCATCTTCATTTCTTCAATGAACTCTTTTCTTAGCAATGAAAATGAGGGTTGGTTGGTCTCTTTTACTTTTTTTTTACCTCTCTCTTGAGCTTAAAGCTAAAGCTTTGAACTTGTGTTGTGTGTGACTTGGTGTGAGGGGGGTTCTTAAAGAGCTTTCAGGGTGTGGTCCTAACACACATTGGTCTAGTAAAGGGCCAGCGATGGGGCATGAAAGGGTGTGCAATGCATCCAAAGCCACCAGACAAACACCAACTGGACCCCACCTCACCGATAAATTATTAAGTAGTCGAGAACTATCAAGTATTTATGATTTCTATCGATCACTATATGACATGCATTTAAGATTTTTAATTAGTAAAAAAGTATTTAACAATATTTAATTACATGTCATATAGAAATTAGTTAAAGATCATATGGTTTAAGAACATCATATAATTTTTTTGTTTCACCACCTTGGAATCCATACCCCAATAAGGGGGAATTGATAAAACAAAACAAGCAAGCAATTGAGCCAAGCTTCTCTCTCTTGCATTGCCATGTCTCACTCTATATTCCTACGTGTAGACACTACCCACCAGCATAATGGGTCTGCCATTACAAAAATAAGGTATTAGTATTACAACCTGCCCTCAATTTCTGCATGCTAGATGATTTGTCTGGTTGTTCATGAGGACATGAGCATTATCTTTCTATTTTTTTTAATGCTTCTTGTTTTGTCTTCTTCTGCTTATATCTTTGGTTGGATCCACATAATCAGGGAAATGACTGGTGGATAGGGGTTGGTTTAGTTGAATCCTACATAACAATTCGTAACAGAAATAACCATTAGAGAGTGTTAAGGTCATAATGGGCTCTTATGAAAATGGCATGTATAAGTAGAGTAGGGGCCGCAACTATCAGCATCAAAGTTTGCATTTCCTTAGTTAAAAATTCAAATTATGTTTATCCTATGGTACAAAGTCCAGAAATTATGCACATATTAGGTGATCACTCAAGAAACGAGAAACCGAATTTGATGAGCCTAACCCCATATTAAGGAAAACTTGAATTTCCTTGACTTGTGGAAAGGAGGGTGTTATAAGATCATCGAAATTACAGTGTTTGACAGATGATTTTCTGCTTGCTAAAACCAAATATAACCCTTTTGAATTTTTATTTTTATTTAGTACATAACCCTCTGGAATTTGATTGTTGGGTTGTGGTCTTGCAGTTACATAATGTTAAAACTAGACTCCATCATTGATTGGTTGAATAATTCCACTATTTTGATGCACTGCAAGTGGTACATAGATCTAAATTTACATTACCTTTTGATTGATGGGATTATGTATTGATGCTTAGATACTTCAAAATTGGCAACCTTTCCATATTACTAGATATGCGTATTATATGCCTGCCACTTTATTAAAGGAATCATTATCATTATTTGAACATAACATCTTGATTTAAATTTGATTATCATTATGCTTTTTCAATAATTCTTTGAGATTAAAGATTACGAAATAATACCATGACAATGACAACCAACAATGGATGGGTTCGGTGGAATGGACTAGTGTGTCGTACCAAGATTCAAATTCTGCTAAAATAAGTGTTTACATTTGGTTTCCAACTGTATTTTTGAACTTAACTGTCTTTATAGACTAAAAACAATATCAGTTTTAGAAAATTAAAGAAAGCAAATTAATCAAATATAAGCAATTTATAGATATAATTATATATAACTTAATATATTTTTGTATCCATATGTTAATTTTACAAAAGTTATCGTATTTAAGTATTGTATCATATTATACCCACTGCTCGTTTTTGCACCCATGCAACATATAAGTAAGCTAATTATATTTTTAATATTTCAATTATATGCACTATTTAAATTCTTTGGCATTTCTATCTTTGGGAATACTAGAGGTTGATTATAGAATGAATTTTGAATTCAAAGACTTGTGCTTGGAGATTCTTTTATATTACTTTAAAATCCTTAGGAAAAAGCTGCAAAATTGATTTCAAAACCAACTAAATATGCGACATGATTCTGACAGTTTTGAAGGAGACAGCAAGAATATGGGAGCAACAATGAAATTTTTGCACGAGTTTAGGTTGAGGCTTTGAATCATAAGATCCTTACACATGATGGTAGCCCAAAATCTTCTCCCTTTCACATTGCCTCTTCTTAACAGAGAATTCAGAATACTAAAAGAAGAAAGAAAGAAAATCCAAATTAATAATGGTTTAGTACCCCTTGCCCCAAAAGGAAAATAATATAAACCAAAGTGGCTTTGCATAAGGCACAAAGAAATTTTCTAGTTTAATGGATCAAAAGGGTGAAAATTTGTTTTTCTCCTTGGCATGCAACATCACATAGGGGGCATGAGAAAAAAGTAGCTGAGCCTGAGGACGTAAGTTTCAAGCCTTTGACTAAGATTCCATAACATGGGGTATTAGAATAAGGAGGCACACAAATTTTTATATTGAAGAAACCAAAACTTAGCTAAGTGATTAATTAAATTATTAATATTTAAGTACACTTAGCTAAAGGCAAAGAAGAGCATCTACTTGCTCTGCCTCGTGCTCTCCCCAAGCCACTTACGATGCCAACCTGTTTTCAATGGTTTATGCAATTTTAACCACTTAATATTGAATTAGGAGCTTTGTCAGTGATTTTTCTTTTTGTTACTTTTTTCAGCTTCTGAAGTCTTGTGTGTGAAATGGAGAGAGGGAAAACAGTGGTAGTGGAATACAGAAATAAAGTCTTATATTTGATGCTAGTTTCATTGAATAAATATAATTTATCAGACAATTTTGAAACACCAAGTGTTTTATGATAAGATAATAATATGTTTCTATATAGTTGTGAAAAACTAATAGCTAAAGTATACTTGAAAATTGTAATATTTATCATTTTTGTATGCTAAAAAGGTTTTAGTGAAAAAGTTTATTACATGTATAACAGCTAATGAAGGTAAAAGTAAACAAAAAAGGTTTTGGGAGGGTGGAGAAGAGAAAATGGTATTTTTCTTCTTCTAATTATTGTTAATGTTAAATATTTTTTATATAGCACACAAATAAATAAATAAAAAATGTGTAAGAAAATATTATAGTTAATAGATTTTTAAAAAATATTGGTTAATTCTTTTAATTAAAGTTAATTGATTCTTTTTACTCTTTTTTATTTTACTTATTTAAATAACTAAACATTTTTTCACTTTATTTAATATTATTATATTTTCAGTCTCCAATCTATTTTTATATGTCAAAATGTCTAATATCACTTAGTTATCAAAGTTAAGAATAATTTATAAGCCTATTTCTTATTATATTTATTGAGACATCCTTTTATTTATTTATTTTTTGTTGATAAAATTGATGAGAAAGGATATATATGTTGATTTTATTTTTTTTACAAAATAACATATAAGATTTTTTTTCATATATATGCGATTTTTTACTTTATAAGAATTAATAATAAACATATTTTTGTTGGTGAGCCTAAAACTTAATTTTTTACATCCTTACCCTAAGACTTGTTTTGAATAGGTAAAAGTCAAAACATACTTTTTTTTCCTCCTCTTATAAAGGATCATTCAACAAAAAAAAAATCATCAGAAAAAATAAACAAATTGTTGGAATTATGATCATGAAAATAATTACTACTAATTATAAGTTAAAATGTACTTATTGGATCTTCACATAAAAAAGAAAAAAATAACATCTTTAAATCTTATTATGTAAAGCATTCATGCTATAATTGCATTTATTTGTTAATTGAAATCGTGAGACTAATTTAAGTTAATACTATTGAACTTGATACTTGATACGTGGATAAATGGTAAGTGATATTTTTTAATAATTTATGATAAGTGATCATTTTTTATAATATAAAATAATTTTAATACTACTTTAGAACAATAAATTTGAATTTAATTCAACCTTATAAAATTAATTTATAATGTAAAAATTTATATTTTTTAATTATTTCATCTCTAATCACGTAAGTTTTTCAAAGAATGGGAACTTAACTACTACATTGTAGATAAGACAAGCCATGGTAAAATAAAATTAATATCTGAAATGCACTGTGATCAAAGTGGTCCAACCAAAACCATGGTATATCTCGAAATCAAGCTTTCAGGTTTTGTTATATCTTGAAACATAAAAAAAAGGGTTCGGTTGTACTAAACAAGTCAGAATTGCACGTGAAGTTCTCGTGATTCACAATACCATTGCCTGCATTTTAATCAACATTTAGTATTAATCTAATTCTTAACTAAACTTCCATTCTTTAAGCCAAGTCTCATTTCCATTCCCGTTGTTGAATGCTTGTTTATTAAGGAACAACTTCACCATATGTCCCTTCACCTTCGACCCACATGGCCATATTGAGCTTTATCTGAAATTATTCAAATAGCCACCATTTTCTATATATTTTTTTGGTCCATGCATTTTTTTATAGATAAATAAATAAAAATCATTTGTGTCCTTGTAGATACCTAATTTCATTTGGAGTCACAAACAAAGAAATGAACACCGAGTATGAAGGAAAAAAGTTTCTGAAACTCGAGAAACGACTCAATATGATATCAGAAGGCTCAAAAACTCAACAAAGTTGATTTAGTAGCTCGGAACGGGCCGTTTCCAATTTGGAACAGACCGTTCTAAACTACTAAAAAAGCTTAGAAACCCTAGTTTGGAACGGGTCGTTCCTAATCTAAAACGAACCGTTCCAACACAGGTTGTTATAAGTAAAATTTAAATCCAGAATAGCCGTTTTGTTTCTAGAACGGCCGTTCCAGATTCAAATTTTACTTTTAATAAACTGGTCCAGAATGGACCGTTCTAAAACTAGAACGGGTCATTCTAGTCAGTTTTGACATCTATAAATAGTCGCATCAGATACTGTTCAGGGGACTGAAAAAATCATCAAAGAAAGTCCAATAAAGCTCGAAAATTCTCTCTCTCTTCCCCTTTATTGTATTTCTTGAGATTTGTAAGGCAGTCTGTAGTGTGAAAGGTAGCCAAAAAGCACCTAAAAGTCTCCATACTTGAAGAATTAATAAAGCTCGGTCAAGAGGTATTTCAATTAATACTTTTCTCTTTCCTTTACTTTCTTCATTATGATAAGTATTACTCCAAATAAAAGGAATCACCATGTAGACATCTTATGATAATTCGTGTAATTTAGATTTCATGTATTTAAATAACCATCAATAAAGGGGATTCAATGTTTAAATTATTATTCATTATTATGCTAATTTCATCATAGGGTACCGATTTAGGACATCGTAGGTGTTTAATACCTTCCCTACATGTAATCGACCTCGAACCCAACCTTGGTTATTAAGGCCAAAATTAGATTTTCAAAAATCTTTTATTTTTCCAATATTTTGAATAAAACATTGGTGAGGACTTCATGAACCTATTTTAAAAATTATTAATTAGGGATTAGTCTGGACTTTGGGCATTCCTTGATTAATGAAATCTTTCAAAAACGGTAGTCCAAACTATTAGTCGTAAGATTGAAATTTTTCGGGTGGATTACGACAGTTCTTACAAAGTTGAGATTAAGTTGCTCAAATTTTTTAGAGTTTTAGCATGTTTGGATAAACTTTTCTATACTATGAAAAAAAAAGTAAAACAACTTAACCTTCTTACGTAAGATAAAATCAGTTATACATTAACTTCAAGGTATATAAATTAATTTTAACTTACTTGGAAATTCAATGTATTTTACTTTTTAATTTATTTATTCTCTTTATGGAAAAATTATCTAAATAGAAGCTTAGTTCACGACTTTGTGTGAAGAAGGCTTTTATAGTTATGTAGTAGAGTTTAACCTTGCTCTTGTAAATTAAAATTTCAAATTTCAGCACTGTCGGTGCTTTAAATTCAAAGGACTATTGTGTGAAGGACATGTTAAATAAGCTCTTGAATAATTAATTAATTGATGGCATTTTGAAGCATTTTTATTTCTGAAGATATGCCGTGTGTAAGAATAGTGGCTTATTGGGCTGTGAGTATTTGATTTGGGCAACTTATCATAAATAGTTTTTCTTGACATGAAGCCACAAAACCATATATTATGGGTTTATTAGCATTATAAAGTATTTGCTTTAGACTCCTTTTAGAAAAAAATTATATCAATACTTCTATGATTTTTTTTAAGGTTTCATTACTTATGTCATTTTTAAAATTTTTTAAAATTTATTTTAAACAGTCTATCTTCAAAAAAAAAATATAAATATAAATCCTTAAAAATTCCAATTGTTTAGTACAAGTCTTTAAACTTAATTAGTTATCATCATTTTAGACTCTGAAGAATGTTAATATTATCATTTTTTGAGGGAAATTAATATTATCATTTAAGTCCAACATTTTATTTCAAATTTTAGACTAAAGTAAATAATGTTTTATACATTCATGATTTTTTTTAAAAAAATTTCTTGCTTGGAGAGACTGAAGTGTCAATAACATCCAATTTCTGGTGCTCAAATAGAATCTTATCCAATTAATTTATTAATCTTAAATCTTCATTTAATCAATATGTAACTTATTCTCTGCAAAAATTTTGAAACTCACAAAATACCAAACACTAAAACATTGAACAATTATCAATTATCATTTTGCAGGGAGAAAAATTCACAGGTTGTAACCAGGCAAAAGAAAAATTAATCAGGCCCATTAGCCACTCATGAAAGTGCACCCCATATCATATCCTCCATTGAAAATTAGAACAAACTTTCCTTCTGAATAAAGCAAGAAATGGGGTAGGATAACACTTAAGAAGTGACCATTTCTTTTCCTGCTCTTGAGTCTATGGACAACAATGAGGTTTGATTTATCCTTGATGCACAGCTGGCTAGAAGAAACTTTAAGGAAAGTGCCATAACATTTTTTTTACCACGATTTCTGTTAACAATATAAAAATATATTATATAAATATGGTTGCACGTGCAGTCAAAAGATTCCAGGTATGCATCCATCAGATTCCAGTTAGTTTATGGTAAACAATATAAAATTCCAGTTAGTTTTTTTTTTTTTAAAAAAAAAATTGATATTGAACATTGTTATATCTGAATATGATATCTAACTTTGATATACAGACTATAAACAAAAATTTTGGAAAGAAAAATGGGTATTTACTTTTTAGTATTTACAATTTTCATTCCTCTCTTGGGATCCATCTGCTCCACCAAAAGCTTTTCCTGCGTCTGTTGAGCTCATCCATACTCTCATTTAAGGTTCTTATAATCTTCCTCTGAAGTTTAAGGGCTGAAGCTAGAGCATTTCTCTGTGCATTAGCTTTCTTTGAAATTTTAGGCTCAATTTCCTACATCATGAAAAGAGTGATTTAAGATGATAATTGGTATTTGGATTCTCTTTGCACTAACTTTATTAGTGTTAAATATGTTTTTAGTATTTGTAAATATAGAAATGACTGCTTTCAATTCTTAATAAAATCATCTTCTTGTAGTCTCTTCTTTATAGAAATGTGTCAACTGTCAAGTGTGATCCTAGTATTTCACAATAAAAGTTGTCTCTTTTTAGCCTCTTGTTTGAAAATAGGACCCACACATGACACATTACATAAATGAGAGACTAAAAAGTGAACACTGCCCTTTGTAGGGACACAATATATTTAACCCTAATAAATAACATAATGGGTCTATTTGGATAAAATTTTCGAAAAGCACCTTTAGGAAAAAATAAATAGAAAAAAAAATCAAAATAAATTTTTCCATAAGCTAAATCTAACTTATACAAGTTAAAAATAAAATTTTAGAGAAACTAATAAGAGAAAGCTTCTACAAATTAACTTGTTCATAAGTTAATTTTAACTTACGAAAAAACTTATTTTACTTTTTTGTCCTATTTTTCTTTTCCAGAAGTGTTTTTGGAGAACTTTACCTAATCAGGCCTCATGAGAGAAAAAGACACAAAAACAATTATGATAGGACTGACCATTATCTGTATAGGGTCCATTAGATATGTTTTTGTGCCTTTCTCTCTTGTAATTACTTGTTAACATGAGAAGATTCAAATCCTGATAAATGTAACAGAAAGTGATCACAGAATTGAGATACATACTCTCAGTTCCTGAAGCTGTGCTTCAGTGAATCCACCATCTTTCTGTGTCCCTGATTTTGCCATTAGGTTAGTAATCCACTTGGCAGCTTCTCCATAGTCCTGCTGAGTTGCACGTAGGAGCTGCAGCCTCAGTGTTTGCATGAAAGACAATGCCAACAAGCCTTCTCTGTCAAAATAAGGATGAGCTAATGCTGATTTTGCACTCAGTCGTTGTCTTGCTTTGTACCTTACCATTGATTTCAGAAGTTCCCATCCTATTCCACCATCCAAATCCAACATCTCAAAGCCTTTCCTCAGTTCAGGGCCACATCGAGGCTCTACAGTTTTTCTCCATGCAACCAAGTCATAGTCACATCTCTTTAATTGACGGTTGAATTGTATGAGGCTATTATCAGAGCGTAAACTGGGGAATGCCTATAAGAGAATGGTATAAACTGTAAGCACTTCAAAATACCAGCTTGATCATATAGTTGGTTGGATCACCCTTTGCCACTTTTTAAATGTTTCACCCGATTAAAACTTGGTCCAGAATTATGAAAAACTATTCTACGAGTACTTTAATTGATCAACACAACCAAGATCCAACAAAGTGTAAATACATAACCAAACTCATTTCAACTTTAAAAATACTAATAAGCAGTTTTCATTATCATCAAAGTGATTTATATTAATACACATAATATTCGTATGAAATAGATTACAAATATGAGATATTGAATGATTAATTCGAATAATAGGAACAGAAGCAAGTTCTCAGTTTCATCATTATTAGATACTTACCATTTGAAGGAAGATTAAACCAGCACTATAGATATCAAACCTGTCAGGCAAATTCAACTGTTTGAAACATGAAAACAATCATAAGCAACTAAAGCCAATATCATTACAAGATAAAGGAAGCTATATGTGTGCTAATTGACCAGGGATAATTCGTAGGAAATATTTAACCTGCCACAAGACTGGGGAAAGTGCAGTTGCAACTGGAACTGAGGGCGCTGACGGAGTTTGCGTGCTCATGATGTACTGCTCTGGTGCAGCATATCTGAAATGGAAGGATTGTACACATTATGAATTGCCTATAGTTGAATATCATGTGTCTAACAAAGACATGGATTCAATGAGAATATATAATTTACACACAATACTTATATCTTCTTAGTGTTGTCAATGAACTCGATGATGACTAAACTTAATCTTCATTTTCTCATTCAGTTAATCAACTCTGGAAGCATTTAGAGCTGGGTTGTTCAAACTTATATCTAAATTTTGCAGTGATATTAGTCATCAAATGAAAGGTAAAGCTGCATACAATTGACCTATAATGGATCCAACCTTTCCCCCTAGACCCCTCCATGGAATGAGCTTTGCTGACTGGGTTGCCCCTTTTTATCAGTCATCAAATGAAAGAGGTAACTTAAACCAGTCTAATAATATCTGACAAGTTATAACTAAAGAAACATCCTATTGTAGTCAAAGACATTCTAATGGTATTCTGGTTGACAATTAAATTGAATGAGGCTATTCACATAACAGGCTAATACTTTCATTGTCACCTTTAAGAGCAAAATAAATTACAATTCTGTTGTGATTTTATTGAGTAGGTTGAAAAGAACAAGGCATAGGAGAGAAACCTCTCCTTCAAGTGTTTACCCTTCACAGAAGATTCACCTTTCACAAAAAGCTAATGCTCAATCTACAAAATGAACAAATATGAATGAACCCTTCTATCCTTCTTCCCCTATTGATATCTAATTAAGACCTCTAATTAACTAACTAACTAACTATTAACTAACTCCCCCTTTCCTGTAGTCCCAACAATTTACTTATATAGGGCTACATGAGAAACATTTCAATTAGTACATAAAATTTTCTGAACTTCTACATTCAATTTCCTAAACTTTTCTTCAAGCATTATACATGACAATGCTTGTCAGTGATTACATTGATTCTTGTTCTGGTGATATAATACTCCCACTTTTATTAGCAACCTCAAAAGGGTCTAGAATATAAAAGAACAACTTTGTAGAAATTCAAACCCAATATGCTGAAGCAACCGATCACCTGTATAATATACATTTTCATTTAAAGCTAAGAACATTTATGTCAAATCTAGACAAAATCAAATATTAGTGTCTTTATGAAATCTATTTCAATTTCTTCTAGGGACAAATTTGAACAAATAGAAATAAATTAAAATGAAAAGCTTCCTCCAAATGAATTGATTATGCACATGAAACAGAAACTTCCAGAGGGGATTAAGCTCAAAGTCACTTGGCTACCTGTGTTATTAATGTCAAAGAAGATACCTTGGATCCAAAAGAAACTCTTTAGGAATGTAGTTGATGCCAACTCGCAGATCTGTTGCAGCTCCAAGATCAATGATTTTGAATGTCCGAGACTCTGATTCCCATGGTTTAAAAATGTGATCTTAATTTAGATTAAGGATCTTTCTTCATTGGACAAAGTTATGCAATCTTTAGATTCTTTACCTTCAGAGAAAATAATGTTCTGTGGCTTAATATCCCTATGCACAATACCAGTTGAGTGAAGACCATCAAGTGCAAACAATATCTGCCTCATGATTGTTTGAATGATTCTATTTTCTCTTTCCAATCCTTTGGGCAAGTCTTGGACCTCACCCAAAATCAATGTTTCAACCTGAAATTTGTGGCACCATCATTTGGTCTGATATGCAGACTTTAAGCAATCATGATTTACCATGGGAGCATAAAATTCAGATAGAATGTGAGAACAAACAAAAGGCTTGAGTTCAAAAGCATAGTGGAGATTAGTTCAAGAATGTGAAACACCTCCTCACTAATTAATAATGAACATGGATGTATGAATACCCCCACCCCCCAAGTTCCTTGCACTAGGAAATAGAGTATAGAACAGTTTGGATAAAACTCTCAATGAACACTTACAAACATAAAATAAAATGAAAATAAAATGAATCAAGATGGAAAAATGAATCAAACTTCTCACATAAGTTAATTTCAATTTTGATAAGGTTTAACAACTGAAAAGCTCCCATAATCTACAAGCTAATCCAAATTGGGTAATACTTTCTTTCTTAAATGTAAAACAGCTGATAAAAGCATCATTAGAAAATTTAAGGTTAAAATACTATAACATGACAATTTATCAAGTAAAACCAGGCTGATTAAATAGAGTACCAACATTATATGGAAACTCTCTATTCTGCAACAAGTCAGCTAGGGTGGAATCTCCTTCAAACCGCCATATAATCCAGTATTCAGCAGCCTTCTTTGAAGAGCTCTGCAAACAATATGCAACAACTTTTTTAGTTGTTGAGACTGAAACTACAACTTTAAATAATGTGATGAGAATGTCTTTGATTTCCCATACAAGTACAACACTGATGCCCAAAATTTGTTAGGTAGTAGTATTAGTTTTAACAGAGCAACACCTCAAGAAAACCATAAACGAAATCTGCACAGCTGTTTGCACAAGCTCTTCGTACACGCTCGTTCATCCAAATTTCTACAGCACCATATTCAGTTGCCTTCTTCAAGACTAAGTCACCTTCCTTCCAGTGAGAACCAAAAAGAACCATAAGTCATGATTATATAATTCAAGCTGTCTAAGACAGTGAAACCTCACAAGCACATATGCCATACCAACATGTAGAAATCTAATTTTGTTTCCTCAAACCATGAGACTAAAAGCAATCATAATTCATGAGTAAAAACAATACATATACCCCAAATTTATAAGCAAAAATAACACTAACACAGACATGGCATGGACAAGGGCACTTCAATATAACTAATGTTCATATTATAGGACACCACATGACAAAAGGGATAAAACATGAAAATGGCAAAAGATTTGAATTGACAATGAATATCTGTACGTTCACTTTCTCCATATGATCAAGAGTTTCCCAAAAATATAAATACCAGCAGACATTAGATTTTGTATTATATCTCAATCTGACTATTATGGATGTTTAAAAAATTGAATTTGTTTTTTATATTACCAGTATCCTTTAATTGTCTAACCTATACTGGTGTCAGCTCAAACATTTGAGCCAACAAAAACAATTTTTTAACGAGACAACTGGGGAGACATGTGTTGTGTGAGTGTCAGTGTCAGAAACATGTCACACCAGTGTCTGTGCTTCATTATTGAAAATTAATGGTTATCTTGAAATCAACTTATGTTCATGTGAAGTAGTTCATAAAAAATGCAAACAAGAATCAGCAAGTCCAAATGAACAAGTGAGAATTTTCTTATTCATTTTCAAATATTTTAGGAGCTTCCAAATAGAATTTAAAATAATACCTTTGAAGAGGGCTTGTTGGCCAGTGACACTCTATATACCACTCCAAATGACCCCTCCCCCAACTTCTTCCCCAGAACAAAATCATCCTACCACCATAAACAATTCTCATCAACAACTACTAAATCAGCACCAGAAACAATATTTATAAAATAAATTAAAAATTTAAACTTGAACTCAATACCTTTTTGTAAGTAGGTCTGAACAACCTCTCAACAAAAGCAAGAACAAACATGTCAAAGAAACCAGGTGCTACACCAGGTGTGGCCCAAAGATAAGATAGAGTCCCCAAAGCCAGAACCACCCCAGGGACAGTAAGTGTCAAGCCACTAGACCGGGGAAGAGTGCTCCTATAGATCACATCACCACACTGCATCACACTGCAAGGAAGTCCAACCCCAACACCCACAAAGAGGTTGTGAACTGTGTCAACCCATTCACCCCCTAGTGCAAAAACTTGAACCACTTTTGGGTTTGAGACACTGAAACTTGCACCGCATTGAGCCTCCCCAGAGGGTCTAATCCTAAGCCTCTGGCCAAGGAACAAGGACTTGTTGTGCTTTGGTTTGTGGGGTTGGAGCTTTGTCACTCCTACTCCAATTCCTCTGGTTGCAACAGTGGCCATGCCAGTTCAACTTGGCTTTGGCCTGTGGGAGAAAAATCTTGAGAACTTCACCTGCTATCTCCTTCAATTTTAGACCACAATTTTTTCTTATATTTAGTTTAATTTAATTTACAATGGTAATATGAGATATGATTTATATTTATATGTTAGCGGTTATGTATCAGGTATTTATTGTGGATGCAGTGAGTTTGGAAGATTGGAAATTGGATGGAGGATTTATATACGCCACAAATAACACGTTGATACTGCTGTGGTCTGGGATGGGCCTACATAATTTGCTTATCTTATACTTGCTTCCACGTTTCAAAGTTTCTCCGATCAGATCAGTTCAATGGCCTTTCTTGTTTTTGTTTGTCTTCATTTTCGTTGTTTAGTTAACATTTTCTTCTTATATAAAAAAATTTAGAAAAATCTGTTACATTCATTTTTCCAGTTATTATGAATTTATGATTGAAGTCCATCTAAATAGTAGAAGTTTACCAACCATAATTAGTGATTCAACTTATAATATATATGGGGTTTACAGAATTATTAAAAGTGGGTAAGCCTCGAAAAATTGAAGGCAAAAAAAAATTTGAATTGTGTGAATTGAAAAGTATCGTTATTGTAGGAGTTGTAAATGTTTATAAACATTCTAATATTTTTGTAGAATTTATGGATGAACAATTAAAAAATAGTTTTATTTCATAAAGTAATGAAAAAAGTCATTGAATTAACCGAAAAAAAAAAGTCATTGAATTAACCGAACAAGCAGGTAAGAGTATATCTTGAATATTTTTAAATATTTTTTTCTTTTTATTGTTTGAGACAAATTATGAATTTACAAACTCTAACATTTTTTACAATAAAAATAATTGAGATGAAATTGTTAATAATAGATTATTGAGAGAAATGGACGAGAGAGTAAGAGTAAGTAGGTTGAATATGGTTTTCTTTTGATAGGTAGACTTGGCAAACAAGCTATCTATTCCCGAGAGAAAAAATAGCTCAAGTCAAAAGTGATAGTAAGACCCGGAAGGAGAAGTGGATATGTGGGTCTCCTTCACTTGACCATTTAGGTTAGTTTATCCCACTATGAACGAAAGACCAATGACATGATATTATTTAAGATTTGAATTATGTCATCGTATTAACATATACTATGTTGGTAAAATAATGTGCTCATGGTCCCTACATCACTTGGAGATTAACCACTCCTTTCAAAAATAGATATTTTATATCAATGTCATAATTAATAAAAATGTTACATGTTGAGGCATTGTATATCAAAGAGATTCATAGATGGTTAAATAACCTTAAGCTAGTTTTGTTAAATTTTACCTTTTAATTTTTATATTTAAAAATACTTTATTTTAATTTTTATAATTTTATTTTTATTTTTTAGTTCTTATGATTGAAAATATTCTATTTTAATATTTACACATATCATATTAATTTTTATTCTTTTGTTAGAGTCTAAAAATTAAAATTTATGAAATTTTATGGACTAAAAAAATATAAAATGGCATATATAAGAATTAAAATAAAATATTTTTAATTATAAAAACTAAAAAGATAAAATTAATTAAACTATAAGATCTACAAAGATATTTAATTCTTCTTACAACTAAGTAATTAATGAGTATATGGCAAGCAAAAGATGGTTTAAATATCAAATCTATTTTTGAGCTATACACTTAATAATTATGAAAGAGATAATAGTTTATATAATTTTTTCTCATCTAATCACAATTTAATTTGTTAAACCTTTATAATAATTATCTTAAAATGATATTTATTATGATTTTTAATTAATTAATATTATAAAACTTAGGAGTGAAAAAATAGATTGAACCATTCATTTTAACCTATTTTTTTTTGGAAGGTTGGTTTGATGTTTTCAACCCATGAACTCACTTTAATTTGTTAAAAATGGATTGAAAGCAAGTTGAGATGGGCCAAGGTTGTGACATGATACCCGTTTACCCCAAAGCATAATAAGTAAAATAAATACCAACTAACATTTAGGTTTATTTTACTATTAGTACTATATTTTGTATATGATTTCTATGTACAGGATATTAGTCATTGACTATATTATAAATGTTTATTCTAATGTATATTGTTTAGTCTTTCACTACACAGTAATTATTTAGTAATACATATAATGGCCTGTCGGGTCATTATAATTTTCTTTTATATTAAAGTTTTTTTTATAGCAGTTAGAATTTATTTATTAACTATTATAAGTATTGATGAATGAGTTGGAAGGTGTCACAAGGTAGGTGAGTTGATTCCTTTTTTTGTAGGTCATAATCAGAGTAAATTGATCCGTTTTTCCATTCCTACTAAAACTTTTTACAATAATAATAGGTAAAAAGACTTAAATACATTTTTGATTTTTATAAAATGAATATTTTTAACTTTGATCCTTATAAAAATAATCCTTATTTTTTTATCTAAAGTTGTAGATTTAGTCTTTTACAAAATATTTTTATTTGATTTTTTTATTCTTTTGAAGTATAAAATCATTAATTTTGATTCTTAATATTCATTTTAACATAGATAAATAGAAATAAAATAAATAGAATTTATTTTAAACATCTTAAAAATATTTTAAAATATCATATGTTAATATAATACAATATCACATACATTAACAAGTGCCAAGTGTCATATTATAATAAAATAAAACAAATATTTTTAATTTATAAAAATAAAAAAATTACTTAATACTATAATACTTTAAAATATATTTAAGCGATAAACTAAATTCCTTAAGAAACTTGCAGGAAGAAAAATGTTGTTGTTTTCGTGTTACTGTGTTCGAATTAGATTTTGCCTTAATCCTTATCAGTTAACAGTGCTTAAGTTTTGGGCCTGTCAGAAGGGACTAACCCAACATCCACAGTGAGCGTGGCTATCCCAATCTGCCATGTAGCCATTTAGTTGGGCTGGGCTGTCAAAAACCTGATTTGGCCCAGGGTTGAGGTGTGAGTGGACATAATATATAGGAAAGTGAAAAGAATTCTGCTTACATGTATAGATTATAAATAGATAATTAAATAGGTCATTATTTAATAATGGAAAATAAATAACTAATAAGATATTAATTTTTATTCATCCATTTTTTCATGTTTTTTTTTTTTTAGTTTTATAGTTCATCTCTCTAATCATTTTTTTTTCTTTCTCATTTTTTGGTTTTTATTTCTTTCTCCAATAATCAAGATAGTCACACATCGTCTTTATACTTTTTAAATTCTATTTTTTCACTTTTAACTTTATCATTCTTTAAAGCATAACTTTTGCTCTATCTTCATTGTTTCCTACATTAAATACAAGGTACAATAATTAAATTTTGTTTGACATAAATTTGAAATAGAGTAAGAATTATATAAATGTCAAGTAAATTTTAAAAGAAATAAATTAAGTTTATAAAAATTTAAAGTAGGTAGGGTTACGGTGCGACTATGTGTATACTCATCCATGTTCTCGTACCTGATTTAATAATTAGATATTACTTATACATGCGTTTGTATCCGATCAAATTATGTATTTCCTGTCAAAGTCAAAACGAGTTCAAATATTATCCATAAGTACAAATTTACTTGACATCCTTAGAAAAGAGAATCTTGGTGTTTGTGAAAAGGAGGTGAATGCTTGAAAAAAAAAATAAACATCAAAGACAAGGAATTCTAAAGTCAAGAAATTAGAAAATAAAAATAATTAAAGATATTTTTTTAAAAAAAATTATAATAATAATGTATTATTAATATAACATAAGCCTATGTAAAAATAAAAAAATATTTGAAAGCTCATTTTAGTCCAATGATATCTAGAAAAAGAAAATGAAACAATTTTTATCGATTTAAGTTATTAAAATGAAAGCGCAATGAACAATTGAAATTGAGTAATGATAAAGAAATTAGTATAATATGCAAAAAAAATTTATATTCAAATTTTATTATTATGTAATTCTTTTATTAATAAAAAATTAAATTTTATTTGTGGTTGCACAAGTATAGATTTTTTTTATACAATTGTACAAGTATAAATAGAATATAAAATATTGTGAGAATAATTTCCTATTTATTATCATGTTAGAATTCAAGTATTGTACTAGTACATCATACTACCTTCATTTTTATTTATAAGAAACAAAAGTACAATTTTTTTTCTCTTAAATATAAGAAACATAACCATCTTTTTATTTGTATTAATTAATAGATTTCTTTTATACCTTCAATTTATTAAGAAAGAGACACCGACCAATTTCTCATATTAGTGATCTTAATGCATTTAATTATATGAATATTTTAATAAAAATTTAAATTTAAGATATATTAATTACAATTAACAGTTTCAATGCATTTTCTTAGTCCCTATTCTTTAAAGAGTCCTTGGGTCACGGACTGCATTCAGTGCCTTCTTAATTTCATTTCCACTCTTCTCAAATTAGTTTCTCATTCATATTTATATATGAAAACAGACCAAAGCATTTTTTTTTTTAATTTTTTTTACACTAAAACAGACAAATGCTTAGTCATGGTTACATTCATGTCATTTTCAGGGGAAATAAATTAAGGTCATTGTTTTCAATCTTTCTTTATTTTTTTTTTTCTCTTTGGAAAAAATAAGGAGAAGGAAAGGAATAGAGAAGTGATGTAAAAAAGAAATAGTAGAGAAAAAATGAGTAGAAAATGATTAGAGTTGAAAGTTGTTTCAATCAAGATACTTAAGAGAAAAAAAAAAGTCATTTACTTTTTAAGTAGGTGGATACTAGGTGAGTCACATTGTTAAATGGCTCACGTGCAAAACTGCAAATGAACCCTTAATATTTTTTAATAATTAATTTTTCAATATATAAATTTAGGAAAATATTACATAAATATCCTTTTTAGTTATATATTTTGTTTGTTTAAAGCATCACATGATATAAATTAATATAGTTGATATGAATAAAATTATAGATATCCTAAAGTTTGCCATTATTAAAGTATGATTTTGTTAAAATCATATACAGTAATACATGTCAACATATTTAAGATTAATCTTTAAACAAACCTAAGATTAGATTGCGTTGGATGTAGTTAATATTCAAAAAAAAATTAGATCAATTATTAA